GTGAACCATTTGAAGACCTGAGGAAAGCATATTCTGAGCTGGAGAAACAGCAAATTTGGCTGTTCTGGGAGTGAGGTGGGAGAAACAGGAAGAAGGTACCATAATGAGGTAAGAAGCGAATAAAGGTTTGTAAGGCAGGGCAGTGAAGTGAGCTGATGGTCATTTTTAGACCTCTCCCGCGTGGAGAATGTAGCCACCCAGGTAAGAATCAGTGGTGGCCTTGTGGTAGTGATGGAGATTGAGAAATGGCCAGAAGGGAGATGTATTTTGAAGGGAGAGCTGACAGAATTTGCAGATAGATGTTAAGACCTGAGGGAAAAGGGAGGATGGTTCCTAGGTTTTTGGCCTAAGAAGTACTCTGGCCAGTCCTGTGTGACTTACAGAAACAGACATTTGATGGTAAAAGTGCATGTGCCACATTATTGTTAAATTCATTGTATGATGATAATTACACTTTTTAAAAAATCCTGGAAATCAGAGGACTAGGCTCAATAACTGCTTAATCAGTTCTTCATATCTTTAAAATGGTGTTGACAATATTTGTTTTGCCTCTGCATAAGATTTTGAGAGAACAAAATGAGGTAATGTTTGTGAAAATACTAAGTCATCTAATAACTCACTTTTATATTTGTGTGGCACTTTCAAGGTAAAATGCACATTCTCCTGCTTGAAGTAGCTGAATCTGTTAACAGTCAACACTATGCTAAACATCTGGTGGACTGAAACCCCTGTGACACTCAATCCCAAATTATGTTAAAGTACACATTAGCACTACCAAAGGAGAAGTCTGTCCTTTGCCTCTCTCTCTCTCACTCTCTCTCATTTTGTCTCTCCATTCTCCCTCTTTCCCTCTGGAGAGTTTATGCATACAAGAGCAGGCCAACTCTTTGAGAAGCATGACAGATATACCGTTTCTTGGGTTCTCCCTTCACATACTCAACACACTGAAGCCTCTGCAGATCGTCCTCCAGTACCCCCTTAAGGTACAAGAACTTCAGGACTCGGAAATTCCCGGTCTTTCTTGTTTTGGCAAAAGCCAAATTGTTCACCATCAGAACATAGTGATGTTCAGCTTTTTTAATTGACCAATTAATTTTAACATATATTAGTCACTGCTGATGCTTTATTTATTTGTCATTCTTTATTCTTAGACCCCGTTGGGATTTTTTTTCCACCTGAGAATACTTAGAAAATCAGATCAAAATATTTAACTGATATTTACCTTTCACAGTTTTAAGTCTTTAAGGAAGGAACATTTCAGAAGTGATGTGCTTTTGTTTGCTACAGATCCATGGCAGTGTGCTATTTTGATGAATTAAAAGTTTTGCCTTGTTATGTATAGATAACAGAGAATAAGATGAGTGACAGTAATAAATATCAAGGCATGAATATTCCCAACCTCTTTCCCCTTGCCTGTTAAGGAATATTTTGCTTTTGTGCACCTCATCTTTTCCCCTACCCTCAATTTGGGGCTTTATTAGGTGAATCAGAATGAAGAGTGTATAGGTATGTGTTTGTATGTGTGTTGAGGGTAAGAGGAGCATGCTAGGGAAAGCTGGAGGGAAATGCCAAAGAAAGGAAAGATTGGTAAAATGTACATTGAAACGAAAGCAAGTGACTGATGAAAAAAAATAGATTGGACCCCAGGGAAGAAAGGGGAAAAGCATGGAAATGTTCAAGTTTCTCAGACAAGATTGCTAGAGACTTTGAGGAATAGCTGCCATCTGGGGGAGATGATGAAATGACGTAGGAAAAGCTACTTTGTAACTTTTGCTCTTATATTAAGAATGTATCTGCCCAGCACACCCACTACCCACAGCTAGAGCTTTCTCAAGTGAAGATTTTAATTGATTTTTATATTTGGGGGAATTTTTTTTTTTTAATTTTACATTATGCTAAGACTAGGCCACAAGGGCTTCACTTAATTCAGAATAAGAAAATACTGAGGACCACCAGGTGACGTTTTCTATTCAGACATTTCCTATAGACGTAAGTTAGTGATTCCTGATTTTAAGATTATTGGGAAGATTTTTTTTAACCACATAGGGAAAATGGTAAGAGAGGATGCATTTTTTAATGTGGTTTTAATAATTTTGTGGAACTTAGGCAAAACTACTACCAAGCATTTAACATTGAAGATCCCCGCTGAGATCTTCCTGAAATCAGAAACTTTTTTTGCCAGTCTCTCAGCATGTTTCTTATATCTCTGTTATTGCACTTAATTTATTCTGTCTGGCTTGTTTTTTCAAAGAACCTTCTTTTTTTTTAAGATGTTATTTATTTATTGGGGGGGTGGGTAGAGAGGAGCAGAGGGAGAGGGAGAGAATCTCAAGCAGACTCCCTGCTGAACGCAGAGCCTGACGCAGGGCTTGATCTCAGGACCCTGAGATTATGACCTGAGCAGAGTCAGATGCTTAACCCACTGAGCCAGGTACCCCTCAAAGAACCTTCTTAATATAGAAGTATTATATGTTGGCCTGCATTTATTTTCCCCCCAGCTTTACTAAGGTATAATTGACAAATAAAATTGTAATATGTATTACATATATAGTAATATATTAAAGTGCACAATGTGATGATTTGATATACATTGTAAAAGGATTCCCATAATTGAGTTAATTAACACATCCTCCTTACTTTTTTTTAATGAGAATGCTTAAGATTTACTCTCTTAGCAAATTCAAGTATGCAATACAGTATTATTAACTATAGTCACCATGTGTACATTAGATCCTCAGAACTTACTCATCTTATAATTGAAAGTTTGTGCCCTATTACAAATGTCTCCCCATTTCCCCTTACCCCATCCCCAGCCTCTGTTAACCACGAATCCACTTTCTGTTTCTGTGAGTTTGGCTGTTTTAGATTCCCCATAAAAGTGAAATCACAGAATATTTGTCTTTCTGTGTCTGACTTATTTCACTTAACATAATGCCCTCTGATTTCATCCATGTTGTCACAGAGACCAGGATTTCCCTTTTTTGTGGCCTTCATTGTGTATACATACCACATTTTCTTTATCCATTCATCCATTAATCCACTGATGGATGCTTAGGTTGTTTCCACATTTTGACTATTGTGAATAATGTTGCCATTAATATGGAAGTGCAGATACCTCTTCAAGGTAGTGATTTCATTCCCTTTGGATATATACCCAGTAGTAGGACTGCTGGATCAAATGGTAGTTTTATTTTTAATTTAGCCTGGATTTATTCCTTTTTTTTTCTGAAGATTTTATTTTATTTTTTTAAGTAATCTCTATACCCACTGTGTGGATCAAACTTAAAACCCAGAGATCAAGAGTCGCATGCTCCACTGACTGAGCCAGCCAGGTGCCCTTAGCTTGGATTTATTCTTGATTGTGTATAATAAGCTCATAGAAAACAGACACCATACCTTATTAACAGAACAATATGACAAGTAACAGTACTGGCCCTGAAGTTAGACAGATGAGTTTGAATCTTGACTCTGCCACTCCTCAGTTAAAATACAAAGTAGGTTTTGTGTGGTTGTTATTGTTGTTACCTTGTTTAGTCTCAGTACTCTCCTCTGTAAAATTGACATAATAATGCTAATTTCTCTCAAGGCAGTTGTCAGCATTAAATGAGATGAATGAAAGCGATTACACAACACCTGGCACAGACAAGCATTCAACCAATGGTAACTGTTAACCATGTGTATGTCTACTTTATATTTGAATTCCTACCATGCAGCACTCAGATCTTTGCTATCAAGATCATGGCTAGGGCGAGAGAAGGAAACCATGAGAGGAATTCAGGGGCTAGCACCCTTGAACATTTATTTTCTTCTGTGACCTTAAGATTTGGAGCCCCAGGGGCTGCTGTCAGGGCTTGAGGCATGCTTCTTCTAGCCCAAATGAGCTTTGTTAGAGGTGGGGCAGGAAGAAAGTGTCATCTGTTAGCACCAGGACCTTCCTGGGAGTTCGATGCCTGTCAGGGGCATTCCAATTCAATCCCCAGTTCCTTCTCCCCTCCCCAACAGTGGCTCTTTAGGGTCTTCTAGTGATGGGAACTTCCAGTGACTAACCTCCACCTTCATGAGTCCCTAGGAGTTGGGGACCTTCTTAAAGACTACCTCCTGCATGAAGCACTTCCTGTTTTCCCAGGTCAGAAAAGAGTTGCTCCTGTTATAGCACATAGTACTTATTGCCCTATTCTAGCTACTAGCTTTATGTTGTTTCCTCCTGTGAATTGCAAAGACTCTGAGATTAAAGTCTGGCTCTGGTTCCTGTTTGATCAGTGCAGTGAGCTGTACATATATTCCCAAGTAATGACTGTTCCACCGAATTCTACATAAGCCCATCTTGGGGCTATAACCTCAAGCTGAGCAAAACCCAGGCCTCGCCCTAAACTCTAAGGAGCTAGCTACCCTGATCCCCAGAACTTTAAGGTATAAACTTCTTCCTATGTTTCTGGGCAATTAACAGCCTGAAGTTCCTTGTTTGACTCACTGTAGGAAGTTCCCAGCAATAGATTTCAAAGAGTTGGCAGGAATCCAGAAAAAAACTTCATTTAAGGCATAGGGATCTACAAGGTGTTAACACCAAACTTTTTCCTCGCCATAATTTAAAGTTCTATTTTTTTACTGGCTGTTCCATAGGAGTGTGGTAGAAATTCAATACTGTAACAGCTGGAAACCATCTGAAAGAATTCTGACCCTATTAGCAGTTCACTTAAATTTTGTTCTAGTAGTCATATAAAAACAATAAAGCAATAATTTATTTGGTCCCAAACACAATTATTCTTATTTATCCAACATGCACAAAACTGTAAGATTTTATTCTCAACTATCATTACCACATAGTTTACTAAAGTGCCTGGCCAAAAATAATATTTTCTAGATATTATTCTAAGTTTTTAGCTGAATTTAGGTGAGATAACCTTTTAGGAAAAGTTTGCTAACTCGGCAACTTGCTTTTCTCACTTGGCATAGGAAAAAAATTACCCTTTCAATTTCACCAATACGTCACTGCTTGGACCTCAGTTCTGCTTAAAGAATGCTAAAGTGTCTCCTCTTGATTTCATGTGGCTTTTCACAAATCCAGTCAGTTTCCTGAACCCCTCCATCAGTCCATCCCCGGTGATGGCACAGCAGGGCTGCACATACCAGTTCCGGTCACTGCAGAGCTTCTTCACTCTGAACATTCTGGTGATGTCCTCGGCAGTCAGAGCTCCAGGTACATCCTGTTTGTTGGCTAACAGGACAACAGGCACATTTTTAATGTGTTCATTCTTCAAAATGTGCTTCAGCTCTCTCCTGGAGTCTTCCAGTCGCTGCTTGTCCGTACTATCCACAACATACATCAGCCCATCGGTGTTCTCACAGTAATACTCCCACACAGTTCTCATTTTTTCCTGTCCTCCAACATCCCAGACTGTGAGTGAAAGACTCTTTTCCAACTCGATCATCTCCACGTTGAAACCTATTGTTGGGATGGTCGTAATATCCTTAGCAAGCTTTAATTTGTAAAGGAGGGTAGACTTCCCAGCTGAGTCAAGTCCCAAAAGAAGAATCCGGGCTTGCTTGGTTTCGGGGTTTTTAGAACTCAGTAGACCCCTTTTAGGGTTGTTTTTTTTTTTCTCCCTTCAAAGACCTTTTCTTTTGGCCAGGGCGAATGTTTACTCTCCAGGTTTCACATGAAAATAATAAAAGGAAAGAAGATAGCAAATGCTTCATGTTGTTTTAAGACTGGGAACTTGTGTGCATTTATGTAGCAGCTTATTGACCTCATTATAGGCAAACAACGTTTTATTTGCAGTCCCAGCCAATCGTAAGGAATCTGGTATGAGTAAGCAGCCAATGTTATAATTGCTCAAAGGGGAAATTCTTTGAGTGAGTAGGATGTAGGAGGGGCTGGCTGCGTGATACCATAGCTTGTTCTCTTCCAGATGTTGGAAATTTAGAGGTTGGAAACCAGAGGTTTATGGGAACATGGTTCGGTAGTAGAATAAAAACTTAACAAGTGTTTTATAGAACTTCTCTAGTTATTTGAACATTTCTCTTATCCCAGTTGTAAATGAGTAACCAGGCTTCTGAAGTCATGAAGAGAGAGTTTATCTCACAGTGCCGTAAGTATCTTTAGTACTTCCCCTTGTCCAGATCACTCAGTAGGATACTTTAAACCACCCAAGGTTATGTGAACCTTACTCCCATAATATACAGAAACACTTCTTTACTCTTCTAGAAAATTTATACTGTTCACAAGACCAAATATACAAGGATAGGAGGGGAGTTTGTAACACAAATACTTTTGAAATTAAGCAGTCTTACTAAAGGTGGAAATTGAATATGTGTTTTTATCTCCTTTCCTCAAGACTCCACCAAAATGATGGTGAAGGAATAAAAAGAACATATAAACCCATAACAAGAGCAGGAGAATCCATCAGAGGGTGAGAGATTTCAACAAAATTCTGCAAGGTGGAATATAGATGGAAGATGAGTGGTGGTAACAAAATTCAACTGAGTAAATTTGAAGATCTGATTGGCTTTATTAAGTGATTCATGAATTGGGCAGCATCCCATCTAGCAAATAAAGGGGAGTTTCAAGAAGTTGTATGAAATGGAAGCTTTCTATAGAAAGGAGGATGGGGTAGGAGATGGGCAAAATGGGTATAGGGAATGGGAGATACAGGCTTCCTATTATGGAATGAATAAGTTACGGGAATAAAAGGCACAGCATAAAGAATATAGTCAATGATATTGCAGTAGCATTGTATGATGATAGATGGTAGCCACACTTGTGGTGAGCATAGTATAATGGATAGAATTGTTGATTCACTATGTTGTACACCTGAAACTCATGTAACATTGTGTGTTAACTATATTTCATTAAAAAAAATAAAAAGAAAGGAGAATGGGTCAAGAAAGTTACTAGCAAAAGAAAAGAAAGGATTGTTTCAGGCAAAGTCACCCTCCCTTAGGGAGAAGGGCAGGGGACCTTTTTAGATGGATTACTTCATCTTCCTTTTTTGGGGAATAGAGAGGGCCCATGTGACAAATTATATCATTGGTGCTGCTCAGAAAATTTCTGATTGACAGGTTAAGTTCTATTTCTGGGGGAGGTTGAATCTGCAGTTAGGTTAGGTTTTAAGCCCCAGTTTGGTGACTCAGCCTGGCCCAAGTGATGCCATTTTGAGCCTATGGTTTTCTTTTTAACAGTGGTAACTGATGCAGCAGGATAAAGCCAAAGCTTGGAGTCTTGATGCACAGGATACAGATGGAAGGGATGAAATGAGGGACTAAAAATAGAGGGGGGTTAAACGTCCAAATAAAGACCCCCAAGATAGATAAATAAATAAAACCACACACACTTCTGCTGACTGACCATTCAGCAACAAGATGTTATTCCAGGAAAAAAAAATTTAAAGAAATTGAATGATATCAGAAAAAAGACCTCCAGGGCGCCTGGGTGGCTCAGTCGGTTGAGCGACTGCCTTCGGCTCAGGTCATGATCCCAGGGTCCTGGGATCGAGTCCCACATCGGGCTCCCTGCTCTGCGGGGAGCCTGCTTC